TTTAATTTACCACTACCATTTATACCACTACCTACCTGTAGCCCCGTAACACCTAACTATCATGAAAAATGACAATGATCATATAAAAATCCTTTTGGAGAAATATAGGTCAGGCAACTGCACCAGGGAAGAGCTTAAATTATTAGACAACTGGTTTCACCAGGTTCCGGTATTGGACGAGCTGACCTTTACTTCAGAGGAAGAGAAGACGGAGATTAAGGAAGGTATGAAGCAGCATATTTTAGACCGGATCGGCCAGGACACGAAAGCGTCTGCGGCTATTCCCGCTAATACCATTACAAGTCGGCGCAGATCACTATCCATGAGGATAGCGGCTTCTCTGATTGTTCTGGTCGCTGCGGTTTTCGTAGTGCAGCACTTTTTTAGCAGCGACGAAATGGCCAGGATTACGGTGACTGCACCTGCCGGGGTTGATTTTATGCCGGTTACTTTACCCGACCGTTCAACGGTATGGCTGGCTTCCGGCAGTACATTGAGCTACCCTGAAAAGTTTAGTGCAGCAGTACGTAGTACCGATTTAATAAAAGGCAGCGCTTTTTTCAGCGTACAGCATAACGAAGCTGTCCCGTTTGTGGTACATACGCCAAGGGGTATTCATGTAAAAGTTTTGGGTACGACGTTTAACGTGGCATCCGGGGAAAATGGCAATATGGTTAAAGTATCGGTATTAACCGGCAGGGTGGCCGTAGATGATCAGGCGCAAAAGCTGGATACCTTGTCTAAAGGAGAGCAGCTAACCTATAATTATTCGGACAAGACGTATGTCAAGACCGCCGGGCCTTTGGACAGCCTGGCCGGGTTAGCTGACAAAGACCTGGTGCATTTTAGTAATGCTGCTGTTAAGGATGTTGTTGTTGTATTACAGGCCATGTATAATGTTAGATTTGTGTATGACCAAAAGCTCGATGGCAGGTATAAGTTCAACATAAGCTTTTCCCGGTCCTTACCTATTGATGATGTGCTGGAACTATTCGGGCGAATCAGCGGGCTGGAATTTAAGCGGACGAATGATGAAGTGACCATTAAACCAAAGTGATATTGATGCGTTTTATTCTGAAAAATTGATGGCATGTAACTATTTGCAGAAATACATTTACTTCCCGACGCTATTTCTGTTATTTATATTTATCGGTTTCACAGCCAATGCCCAGCTTCTCGACAAAAAGATCAGTATGCATCTGGAGTCGGGCAAGCTGGATCGTTGTCTATTGCAGTTGCAGGAAGTTTCCGGCCTGTCGTTTGCCTATGAAACGGCACATTTGCCACAGGTGCCTTTAGCAGCCTGCGCTTTTAGAAAGAAACGGATTGCCGAGGTCCTGACTTATATGCTGGCCGGCACAGGCTACCGGTTTGAGGAAAAGCACAATGTCATTATGATCTATGCGTCTCCGGCAGGAACGGGGCGGCCACAAAATAGTTATAAGGCCTGCGGTTTGGTAACCGATAAGGAAACAGGCGCGCGACTTCCCGGTGCAGCGATCCGCTCGGCTACATCCCTCGACCTGCTTGCCGTTTCC